CGCGACATCCCGCTACAAACGTATCACGAAAACGGGTCCGTCAAAACTCACGCCAGGAGCTTCAAAAAGCGGCAGTGCCGACTTCCAGCAAACTCGAGTCTTCCGCTTCCCCGAAAAGAAAAGGGAGAAAGTGGAGAGTGCGGCGAGGAGGAAAACGAGGCTTCGATTCGATTTGATCGTGTATACCTAGATAGACAAAACTTGTGTATATAAATATGTATTTCTAGATAGTCACATATACAAATATACATACATGCAAACATTCATACATCCATCCATCCATACATGCATACATACATAGATACATACATACACGCGTGCATAAATACATACATACGTATATACACTCATACACTCACATACACATACACAAACACATACATATATCTATATACATACATACATACATAAATACATACATACATACATTCATCCGTGCATACATACATACACACATACATGCAAGTATGCCTATCAGTATCTGGCGGAGGTAGATGGACTCTAACATCGCGAGGTAAATCGGGCCCCAAGACCACACTACCCCCTGAGCCACCATCATCATCCTCATCGGCATCATCAGAATCGTCATCATCATCAGCATCATCATTAGCATCATCGCCATTATCAGATTCACCATCATCATAATCGGCATCATCGGCATCAGCGTCATGTGAATCATCGGCATCGTCATCATCAGTATAATCATCATTATTGGCGTCAGCATCATCATCATCACCATCGACATCATCATCGGCATCATCAGCATCAGCATGATCAGCATCATCGTCATCATCAGCATCCCCCTCACCATCGGTATCAACATCATAAGCATCGGCATCAGTATCAAAGGCATCATCATCACCAGCAGCATCGTCATAACCATCGAAATAATCATGATCACCAGCATCATCATCAGCATCAGCATCATGATCGTCATCATGATCCTGATCACCAGCAACATCACCATCATGGGCATCAACAACAACACCACCCTCATTGTCGGCATCAGCATCACTACCGTCAACATCATCGGCGTCGTCAGCATCATCATCATAACCATCATGATCGGCAGCATGATCATCAGCATCATTTATCATTATCAGAATTGTCGGCTTGGTAATCATCGTCGACACCACGATCAACATCGTCATCACCATCAACATCATCATCATCTTCATCATCATCAGCATCATCAACATCATCACCATCATCGACATCATCATCATCATCATCATCATCATCATCATCATCATCATCATCATCAACATCATCATCACCATCATCATCATCATCAGCATCATCATCATCATCATCATCATCATCATCATCATCATCATCATCACCATCTGCATCATCATCATCGGCAGCATCCTGGGAATGGGACTCTGGGGGCGACAACCGTACAGCCTGGGGCCTGCACCCGTGAAAAATTCGGGCTGGGTGCCACTTTGCCATGAGGGCCTACAGAGGAAGCGTATGGTCCCGAACGCTGGGGATGTGGACCCACAGGCGATTCATGGCGCCTAGTTGGTGGGGCCCCGATCATCATCAGCTTCATCACCATTCGCATCATCATCATCATCATCATCATCATCATCATCATCATCATCAGCAGCATCATCGTCATCATTATCATCATTACCATCATCATCCTCATAATCACCACCATCATCATCATCATCATCATCATCATCATCAGCATCAGCATCAGCATCAGCATCAGCATCATCATCATCATCATCATCATCATCATCATCATCATCATCATCATCGGCATCACCATCATCGTCATCATCAGCATCATCAGCATCATCGGTATCATCCGAATCATCGGCATCCTCATCCTCATCATCCTCATCATCATCATCATCATCATTTTCATCCGTATCGGAATCATCATCAGCATCACCATCGTCATCGGCACAATCATCTTCATATTCATCCCTTTACTATCATCAACAGTATCATCATGATTAGCATCATCAGAATCGACATCATCATCATGGTCATCATCAGCATCATCATCATCAGCATCATCGTCGACATCATCGGCATCATCATCATCATCATCGGCATCAGCAGCAGCATCATCATCATCGGCGTCATCATCATCATCAGCATCAGCATCATCATCGGCAGTATCATCATCATCGGCATCATCATCGTCAGCATCAACATCGGCAGCACCATCATCAGCATCATCAACAACATCACCCTCACCATCGTCATCGACATTATCATCACCACTATGTCATCAATATCGACATCATCGACAAGACAATCATGAATGGCATCATCATACACATCATCATCATCATCATCATCATCATCAGCATCATCATCATCATCATCATCATCATCATCATCAGCAGCATCATCATCATCATCATCATCATCATCATCATCATCATCATCATCATCATCATCATCATCATCATCATCATCATCATCATGAACATGGACATCATCAGCATCATCATCATCATCCTCATCAGCATCAGCATCATCATCATCATCATCATCATCATCATCATCGGCGTCATCATCATCGGCATCATCATCAGCATCATCGCGTCATCGGGACTGCCATCATCGGCAACAGTATCGTCAGCAGCAGCGTCATCGACATCATCATCAGAATGCTCATCAGCATTATCAGCATCAGCATCAGCATCAGCAGCATCAGCATCAGCATCATCAGCAGCAGCATCATCATCGTCATCATCATCATCAACACCATCATCATCATCATCATAATCATCAGCGTCATCATCGGCATCATCATCAGAATCATCAGCATCATTAACATCATAATACCCATCATCATCGGCAGAATCATCATCGGCAGCATCATCGTCGGCATCACGAACGCGTCGGCATCATCATCGTCACCATCATCATCCTCATCAGCATCACCATCATCATTATCGACATCATCAGCATCATCATCATCATCATCATCATCATCATCGGCATCACCATCGGAATCATCGTCATCAGCATCGGAATCATCATCATCAACATCAGCGTCGGCATCATCATCGCCATCATCAGTATCGGCAGCACCATCAACATAATGATCAGCATCATCATCAGCGGCACCATCATCATCAGCATCGACATCATCATCATCATCGTGATCATCATCACCATCACCATCACCATCATTATCAGCAGCAGCATCAGCATCATCAGCATCAGCAGCAACATCATCAGCATCATCATCGTCATCCCTTTCCTCATCCCTTCCCTTGGCCATACTCGCGGTCTGCGAGGCGCGCCCAGCCACGGAGGGGCGGGGCCGGTCGCGCCTGTGCGGAGGCGGTATCCTGGCGGAGCGGCGGGCACGCCAGCGCTGCCAAAGCCGAGGAGGAGGACCAGTGTAAACCCTCCCTCCAAGCTCCCTCTTCATTGGCCCCTACAAGGATTCATTTCCACTTAGGGACGTGTCCCGTTGGGAGGCAACAGTTTGACGATCCTAGACCCCGACGCCATTCTCGGGACTTCAACGCCATGTATCACACTGACTGTTGCGTCTTGACGATCCTGAATCGTACCAGAAGGCCGTCCCTGAGACTTCAACACCGCGAAACAACGTCACTGTTGCGCCCTGAGAATCCTCAATCGCTCCAAAACACCATCTCTAGTACGTGAACCATGGGAATCCGTGGAACTATTGCAAATGTTTAAACGTGCGCGGCACTACGACAACAGCCATATTTTGAAAACCACACGCCCTCAATCCGATCTTGCAAATGTTTAATTCGAATGTTCACGGCGCTAATGCAAGAAACACATGTTGAAACCTACCCGCCCTCAATCCATGAAACACTTGCACATCTCAAGACGAACATGCACGGCGCTGAGGCGAGAGCCACATTGACAAAAAACCACTCGCCTTCAATACGTGAAACCCTTGCACATCTCAAGACGAACGTGCGCGGCGCGAAATCCTTGCACGTGCTTGCGATCCGCCCTCCATCTGCGAAACTGTTGCCAACGTTTAAGCTGCATCATCTTGCGGGTAGGAAAGTCTCAAACGAAACGCCTGGCCCACTCTTCTGACTGTCCTCGAGGTGCGACAGGGAGGAGTTTGGAAGAGGAGGAGGAGGAGGAAAAGGAGCAGGAGGAGGAGGAGGGGAGGAGGAGGAGGAGAAGGAGGAGGAGAAGGAGCAGAAGGAGGAGGATGAAGAAGAGGAGCGGGGGAGGAGAAGGAAAACAAGGAGGGAGGGGAGATGAGAAGGAGGAGGGGGGATGAGAAGGAGGAGGAGGAGGAGGCGAAGGGAGGAAGAAGAGGAGGAGGAGGGAGGAAGCGGAGGAGGAGGAGGAGGAGGAGGAGGAGGAGGAGGAGGAGGAGGAGGAGGAGGAGGAGGGAGGAGGAGGAGGAGGAGGAGGGGGGGTGGGAGGAGGACAGGTGAATTCGAGGACACGGAGGAGGTGAAGGAGGAGGCGAATGGGGGGAGGTGGTCGGGGAGGGAGAAGGACAAGCTGGAGACAAGAGGGAAGAGAGGGGACGGTGAGGAAGGGGAGGACGGAGAAGGGGGGCGTGGTGTAAACGCGTGCTCGACCGAAGAAAAAGGACGGAGGCAACAAAAAACTGCTTCTACGAACAGTCACCCGTGATTGTGCCACCGACGCTACTCCTGATCGTCCCCCCTCCCTTCGGTGGTTCGAAACGGGGTCCTGCAATGAAATCCACGCCTTTTGATTTGCCGGCGCACTCTGCTTGGAGGACGCGGTCGCCATCCTCCCCACAAACGTATGCTCATTCCAAGAATCCCGTAAACAAACTAGGCAACCATTCTTGGTAACCCTCCCGAAGTTCTCGTTCGTCTGAACTATTATTGTTATTCTTCTTTGCGCCATCTGCCGCGCACTCCGTCCCTCTCGCCTAGGACGCCATGGAATCAGCTGCAGCGTGAGCGACAGCTTCTCAAACCGTGAACACAACTACGCCATCTACCGAAAGGACACGCATCGAGCTCGTGATCGCGTGATGCATCACGGCAACACTCCATATGCAAGTGGACATTGACAACGGCTTCTGAGTGTCCCTGGCTAAAATAACGGTGCCCCACCATCTACACAGCGCTCGCCGGCCGGAACGGTACGGTTCATGGCAGAAGCAGTAGTCATGAGACTCCGAGCTCTGAATAAGCTGCCATGCCTGATACGCGTGGTATCAAGCCAAGCAACGCGTATACTCATGTGAAATACTTCGTGTCACACGACTTCGATTGGCATTGCTGTCCTTCCCCGCGATACCGTCGGAATTAAATCAAGGACCAAAGAAAAACGCGCCGGCATGTTGCTCGAAAATGATGCCGGACTGCTTCTAGGAAGTGCACAACGCCTTCAACACCTGGTAGGCACCACAAATTAGGTCCTTCTCTCAACGGACAACCGTCACTGATCAAACCGACTTGCGCCATTATTCCACAACGAAGCTCATCCACGCTAGCATACCAACGCCACGTGCCCTCATCTTCTCAGAACGGATAAACGAACCTTATAGAACCATGGTGGCTTTTGCTACCATGACGGGGATGAGAGGGCGTGTGAGATGTTGTGTGGGATGGGAGCAGTGGCAACGGCCGATCTGGCCCAGCCGCTGGCGCTGGTGCAGGCGCGCGAAAGCCTGCCGCCCCCGCCCGCGCACCCCGCGCTGGGAGGAGGGCGCAACGGGGAGTGGCTCCGCGACCAGAGGACCGGGGTGATGCTCCAGAAGCTCAGCGAGGGTACCCGCAGTGGGTACGAGGGCGGGCGGAGGCAGTGGACGGCCTACCACTCCGCGCAGGGCAACGAGCCGCGGCCCCAGGGCCGGGACAGGGCCGAGAGGTCACAGGAGGAGGACGCCAGGATCGACTTCGTGATCATCTTGGCGGTGGTGCTGTCGCGCACCGAGGGCACGGTGAAGCAGGAGCTGTTCGCCATCAGGCATGCACACCTGATCGCCGGGTCCAGCGATCCACTCCTGCATCGGGGGCGGACGTGGACAGCCTTGACTGGCTTGAAGAGGCTCCAGGGCCCCAGCAACTGGCGCAAGAAGCCAGTCACCCCGCGGATGCTGCTGCTGTGGCTGAGGCAGCATATCCACCAGGACGCGGGCCTCGGCCCGGCCGACGCCGCCACCGTGTACGCGACCATCCCAGTCGCCCTCTTCTTCCTCCTTTACGAGCGTCGGAGTACCTGGTGATGGACAAGTCCTGGCCCCTCGAGAGGGTGGTCCACGGCGGAAATGTGGAGGCGAAGTCCAGCGGCGAGCGGGTCGGCTCCTTCGCTCGTGCGGACGAGTGCGTCCTGCACAGAAAAGGGCTCGAAAACGCACCAATACAACGTGGGGGCGGTGCGCAACCAGTACGCCACCCACTCGGCGTTGTGCCCGATCACGGCGCTCGCGGCCATGCAGGCGCAGCACCCGCAGCGCTTCGACCACGGCACGGAGGCGCGGCTGCCCCTGTTCCGGCCGGCATCGGGCGCGCTGGTGAAGCGCGAGGAGCTGCAGCACTTCCTCACGCTGGCAGGCCTCGCGGCGGGCCTCAGGCGGGAGGAGATCGGTTCTCATTCTCTGAGAATCGGCGGGGCCACGGCGATGTACCACGTCACGGACGACCTCGCCAAGGTCCAGAGGTACGGGAGGTGGGCGTCGCACTCGTTCCACGCCTACCTCTGCGAGTCGCACGAGCCGCAGCGGGACGTGGCCCGGCGCCTGGCCAACGATCGCTCGGAGCGGACGACCACAGTGGCAAGGCCCCAGGAGGGAGCCGCTGGCACCAGCGCCAGGCGAGCTTCCTCGGGGGGTCTCTCGACCCTGGGCGCGGCAGCCGCGGCAGCAGTCACGCTGAGGCGCGCGGCGGCAGCCGGGCAAGAGCTGACGACGACGAAGGAAGACAGGGGGTACATCGGCATGCACCAGAGCGAGGGCAGGAAGGACGTCGTCATCACGATCCCCTTGTGGACCGCGGCGAAGGTCATCATCTCCCTGGTGGTGGCGCCAGGCACGACCCTGGCGCTGGCCCGGCACTGCCGGTGCGGCGCGCGGCCGGGCAGGCAGCCCAAGGGCCCGCACGAGGCGCCGGGGGAGGCGGCCGAGGGCAAGCCGAAGCCGCCCAAGAAGCCCAAGGCGATCTACTGCGACGCGGGGGTCTAAGGGCCGGTGCATTTCAACGACACGCGCTACCTCCACAAGAACCAGGGGTTCCAGCGCGGAGACAAAGTCACGCGCGAGGTGGCCGCCAAGCCGCATCGCGGCTGACCAGCACGCCGCCGGCCGATGGGGCCTGGCGAGCGAAGATGGTGGGAGGGGGATTCCGCCGCCGGCCTCGGCCTGGCGAGCGGGGCCCGCGCCAGCGCCTCGCGCCCGGCGCCTCGCGCCGGGCGTGGCATTTCAAGCGCCCGCGGGCAGTGTGCGCTCGCGAGCAGCAGGACGCTTGGGCGGCGGCGACTGCGCGCCTGAGGGCAACTGGCGTCGCGCTGGAGCTCGCGCCGCCTCCCATCCGCGGCTGGGGCCAGCAGCAGGAGGGGGGCGGTAACCCTCGGGGCGGTGCGGCCAGCCGTTCATCGGCCGGACCCGCCCCTGACGATCCGCAGCCTGCGCATGGTGCCTGTGGGGGGCGCTCGGCGCAGGGTGCGGGCGCCCGCGGCCGCGGCTCGCCTGGCGCGCTCAAGATTTGCGGGGGGCATGGCGGGTCGGACAGGCAAGGCGAGACGTCACACCGCTGGAGGCCTCCGTGGAGGAGTAGCAATCACTCCGTCATCGCTCCCGCGCCTCCGCAGCTCGCGCAGGGCGCCGAGGGGGCGCCTCGCGCGGTGGTGCGACGCGCCAGCGGCCGCGGCTCGCCTGGCGCCTTCAGGCCCCGCCCAGTTCCCGTCAGCGGCGGCCTGTGCTTTTGACTGCGAGCCCGTGACAAGGCCGTCGTGGGGACGGCCGCGCAGGAGGCTCCCACAGCTGATGCGACCAGCGGGGACAGGTGGCACCTCATGAGGGCCGGCAAAGCCCGCTTCGCGTGGCGGAAAGATGGTGGACCGCCAGCCGGCGGCACGCGCACGCAGCGACAGAGCATCATCATCATCGTCCTCTGATGCCGCCAGTTGCTTTGCTACTGCTGTCCCCTTGCCCTGAACCTCGCCAGAAGGTTCAGGTTTTCGGTAGCGTTTGACTGCTAGTCGAGATAGCGAGGCTTCAAAGAGACACCCAAGAGGCACCCAGGAGGTTCCCGAGAGGCCCCCAAAAGCCAATCAGATGCACCCAAGAGCCCTCCAAGAGGCCCCTGAGATGTATTCCAGGAGACCCTAACACGCATCCCCAGGCTCCTGACCCGTAGGCCAGGCTCGGTGGCACGACTCTCGACAAATTCACTGTTATGTGGGTCGGCGGAAAGGCGTAAGCCTCTTGAATCGAATGCTATCGATCAAAATGAAATGACCAAATTTACAGTATCCTCGGTTGCGCGATCAGAGGATAGCAGTCTTGAACCCAGCCCGCTAACTGACTTGATAAAACGAATACTGGCCTGACTGTTACGGCAATGACAGAATAGCAGCCTCTTCTGGCGCGTCCGCGAAAACAGCGCTTCGTCTACGGGGGGCTCCTCTCTCGATCCCTTCCATCTTCCCCCCTCCTATCTCCCATACCTCCACCTCTGCTGATCTCCGTGGCCTCAACTTGTCGAGTCGCAGCCCCTGGAGCTTTCAACCCTCTTCCTGGGATCGCCTTTTCAATGTGAGTCGGTCTGGGTCGTTTTCCGACGATCCTGACACCCGCAGACGCCCCCCCCATCCCCCCAACACCGAAAATCTCGAATTCGAATTAACCCATCGAAGGACCCAACCATGTGCAGCTGCGGGCACTGCGAGGCAAGCGAAACAAAGTCGTGCAGCTCCCTATACGGCCACGAAACGTGTGAGGGGTGTGCCGACAGGGGCGGCGGGGACGCATGTGGACGCAGCCACTGAGACCTTCGGTGGGGCTCCCTGCGGGACCGCGGAGCGTGCGAAGGGGGCGCAGGAATGTGTTGTGGGGACGCATGTGGACAATGACACTGGGGCCTTCAGTGGAGATCACGATGAAGCCACGGTACCGCGAGGGGTGTGCCGAAATCTGCCGCAGAGACGCTGTGGGCGCAGCCACTGAGGCCTTCGGTGCAGCCCCCTATGAGGCCACGAAGCGCGTGAGGGGCAGGCCGAAAGGAGCGACGGGGACGCGTGTGGACGAACCACTGGGGCGTTCGGTGAAGCTCCCTACAGCGCGAGGAGTGCGACGAAATGTGCGGCGGTGGCGCATGTCGACGCAGCCACTGGGGCCTTCGGTGGAGCCTCCTATGGGGCCACGAGGCGTGTGAGGGGCAGGCCAAAATGAGCGGCGGGGACGCATGTGGACGCAACCACTGGGGCATCTGGTGGAGCTCCATACGGGGCAACGAAATGCGTGAAGGGTTCGCTGACATGGGTGGCGGGGATGCATGCGGACGCAGCCGTTGGGGCATTCGGCAAGGCTCAGCATAGGCCCACGTAGTGTGCGAAGGGTGCATCGGCATGGGTAGCGGGGACGCATGTGGTCGCAGCCCACTGGGACCTTAGGTGGAGCCTCCTATGGGGTCACGAAACGCGCACGCGGTGCGCCGACATGGGTGGCAGGGACGCATGCGCACACAGCCGTTGGGGCCTTTGGTGGAGCCCCATATGGGGTCACGAAGCGTGCGAGAGGGGAGCCGAAATGAGTGGCGGGGACGCACATGGACGCAGCCACTGGGGCCTTCGGAGGGGCCCCCGATGGGGCCAGGAAACGTGTGAGTGGTGCGCCGACATGGATGGTGGGGATGCATGAGCACACAGCCGTTAAGAACTTCGGCGGAACTCCCCATGGGGCCGCGAAACGCGTCAGGGGCAGGCCAGTGAGGCCTTCAGTAGAGCCCCCATATGGGGGCCACGAAGCGCGTGAGGGGCGTGCCGACAGGGGCATGCGGACAGCAGGGGCAGGGACGGGAGGAGGAGGCGTAGG